GGTGAATAAGAGATATATTGAAGAGGTCTCTTCTTGTAATGTCTTCATTTTGAAGGTAATCACATTTCTTGCTACTAATTAATTGAATAATCGAATTAATATGATATATTTCTTCAAGGAAACTGTTTATTATTTTCTTGAATTACTTGGTGGTCTTTCTCAGATTTATTGGTAATTACTAAAAAGCATATAACTCATCCACTTATACAGGGAAATGTTCTTTCTACGCCGGCAACCAATGGAACTATTCTCAAAGGAATCACACGAAATAGCATAATAGAAATTGCACCTGATCTTGGTTACCAGGTAATCTGATTTTGATAACAAAATTCTTCCCTCTGGAATTACATTTTACGATTCTGTTAACTTTATGTACAGATTCAATATTCACATGGGAAACGATTCATGGATTAAGTTTTCAATGAGTGAATCTGAATGAATTTTTATTGCATCATTTTCTTCTACCCTGGTATCCTTTGTGTATTCAAACTTTGAATCAATTCTTAGATTTATAGATTAGAGCTCAAAGAATTTTCCCCAACGTTGCCAGGTTGAAGAACGTCCAATTCCAGTCGAAGAATTACTTGATGCTGAAGAAGTTTTCTGCACAGGAACTGCTGTTGGTGTTGCTCCTGTAGGAAGTATTACATACAAGGGTAACAGGTACATAAACAACTGCAGTCTGATACTGTTATCATTATAATATGTGTGTATTCTTCTTGCTAAATTTTGTTTAAGACGAACGAAGTATTTACTCGGATAAACCTCGAATCCTTTGTAATATTTCATTCCACATGATCTATAGTATCTATTGGTTTTGTTTGGAAGATAAAATTGAGTGTACAGTTTCTGTTTTTTTTTTTCTTCTGGAAAGTTGTCAGAACAAACCAAAAGTTATTTTCATTCTGATGTTTTCAGCGTTGGAAAAGTATTAATAGAATTTTACAGGATCTTCACCAAAAGTTAGTTCTTATTGAGGTCCTCTTGTTTTTACAGGATTGAGTATAAGATGAGCAATCAACTTGTGTGTTTGCAACTGTATTCAAGACTTATGGGGATCCAAAGAGGCAGTATCGAGGATAAGAGGGGATGGATTGTTGAGATTGATTAAATTCATAATCCTTCTACATTTGTAAATTTGTGATAGTTGTATGTTCATTAATGCTTAAATTTATAAGCCTCCATTAATAAATAATTTGTAAATTTTAAATATTAATTTCAATTACATAATCCTAACTACTAATAATAATATAGACATTTGAGGATACTTACCAAATTATGATTCAAATGCATATATACAAAACAATGAATGAATTAAACGAGTTAAATATTTCATTGACAACTGAACTTTATACCTCATCATGGCTTACCCAAGGATCTTAAGGAAGCTTTTCAATGGCGATTAAACTTAACTCTATTGCACTAAACTGACTGCCGGATGGATTCCTTCTATGGTTGTGTCTACGTGGAGAATGGAAAGATGGCGTGGCAGTTAAGGCCGTGGTTGGTTTGTCGTTTTTGGCCCATTTTTCGTTTT